GAAAAATTTTTAAATCTAGAACAAAATTATAGTATGCATCGTCTTTTGTGGAATATCGTGGTGTCAACTTCGTGCATTGTAAGATGGAGAGTCAATTTATGTATTCTGAACGCAAGGCTATATAAACTGACATTTATATAAGTTACTCTTGTCTCAATATAGCAAGCCAATCTTTTTTAATTCGATAGAGGAGAATAAGAATTATTGATTTTATTTTCATATCGTCTTATTTTCATACTAAACGTGGTTGTGAGAGATATAAATGCGTCAAGAATATTTTTTGTCTCAATAACAGAAATCCTTTCTGAGGGTGTACCTTCGAGCTGAAAAGTGAGACAAGGGTTTCGCCTTATTAGGTAAATAAACTAGTAGAGAGAAGTCCTCTGTTATGAGATAGGATTCTAATGTGAGACAGTAGGTTTTCAACGTCCAAATTCAATGGCAAATCTTTTTTCGTAACGATTACACAATCTAACAATCAATTTTCCAAGGGCATTAAATTCACGGTGCACCCAACAGACGACGCCTATTAATTTGGCAGAAACTCCGCTATCTAATATTAGCAGCCTATTCCATAATAGAGGACTTTCCTCTACTACTACACACTACTTTGTTCACCTAACAAGACATGGCGGAACCCTTGCCTCACTATTCAGCTCGAAAGTAGCAGTCTAGCAGTGTATAGAAGTCTGTGGGCGAAGCTCTCGCCGCGTGCGATGACAAGCCTTCGTCGCAAACGTCGTCTCAAAAGTGACACGATCATCTCGGATCTCTATTAATGATAAGCCTGTTAAGCCGGACGGCTTAGGCTCGCTCGCCGCTCGATTTGGCGGTGATTAAATGGACGGTAATTTTCTTCGCGTCTCGATCATCCTCGGATAATTGCCAGGCTGGCGATAATTGCAGTCAAAGACCGTCCGATTGCTGACGTGTTATTATTGGCCGGATTCGCCGACACTATTAACTGTAATTTAACCGACCACTCGTTTCCTCCTGTATTATAATGCCGGCTATAATCTACACGGAGAAGAAAAAGTTTAGCTACCGCTAAATGGCGTTGGCGCAAGTCTCTCTCTCTCTCTCTCTCTCTCTCTCTTTCTCTGTCGCGTAAAATCCACCCGTCCGTCTAGCGACCACACTGACGTACGGCTACGTCATATAAATCAATGCGTTGCCGACTATTGACGTACTAATGCGTCATATAAGACGGCGGGTCGGCGATATTGATGTAACGCCTGTAGTACGACTCGTTATCCGTTATATTTTAATATTAACTCTACAACACCGATTATTTACATCAACCATCTCACAGACGGACGCCTAAGCGATCTTCAGACATTAAACGTAGCGGTAAATGCTATAAATTTAACCGTCAAGTGTAACTTCATCAAGCAAGTGTTGATCGTTTTTATTATAAATGTCCGATGAACGGAAATTTTGTTCGCGTTAACGGCACGCGTATTTAGCGTCGTGTGTATAATTGCACGGGATGTGCATTTCGAGATTTTAGAAACGCTTTATACAGATTTCGAAATATAAATACGGATTTATTAATAAATGTATATATTAATCGTATGATAAAGATGTAAGTGACTTGTGATATTCGTGCGATATTTTAGCTGTTTCCGTTGAAAAGAATATATATATATATATCCATTTCTCGCCAACCATTAACTTTTGTAGTCATAGAAAATGGATGGAGACCGGATATGATATTCTACTAATAACAGTCTAAAATATATGAGGGAAATCAATAGTTTGCGTTCAGTCTCAATATAGAATTATCGAACATTTAACGCCGTTGTAACGGCTTTTTCTTGCCGGCGTTGCTTTAAGAGGAAGATAATAAAGTTTCAATTGTGCGCCTCAAGTTTCAAGTGTCCAAGAATTCGATAATGTTTACATAAAGAATTCGGCGTTGCTTTATCGTAACAGCTTGTATTATTATTAAATCTGCGCCGCGATACTCATCGTCGGCGTTAAAGTCTACGGGCATACGTCAGGTGCATTACGGATTTTTTACACGGAAAAAATGCTGTTGAATTAAATAAAAATGAAGCTGCTTGAATTAAACGTTACCGTCACGGGCTGCCACAAACATAAATAATTCACTCAATTGTATTTGCTATGGATTTTAATTTTAAGCATTGAACTAAATATCAAGATTATTAAGACAACTGTCTGAAGTTTTTCGTTCATTAATATTGATGTAGTTTCAACGATTTTGTTTCAATTACACCCATCTTGTTAATACAACATCTTTGTTTCCGTGTAGCAACTATAGCTGATTGAATATGGGGAATAAAGCCCGAGTTGCTCTTTTAAGTAAACGTGAACGCATTCAATCAATATTATTAGTTCCCTAATTCAAATGTTAATAATTGTAACGCGCGTATTCTTACTTTACCGAAACTTAGTAGAAAATTGAAGGTCTAATCAGGGTCTGGACGAAAGGCGTTTTCAGGCATTCTCCCACCCGTGAACTGTCGATAACCGTGCGATTCTAAAATATTACAAGACGAGCAATATATTAAGGCAGAAGGATCGCGTCCCGGTGCCTTCTTGCATAACCAAGTTGAATTTTCCCACCGGGCCGCCTATCTTTTCGTATATCCGTGTCCGTCAAAGTGCCCTCTCTTCGCCCGTGAGGGCACTTTCCAATGAGCGCGACGAGGATGACGAGAGAGGCACGTGGGGGCTGCTCGTGCAGCGGCGAAGTAACGGTGTCCGGTAACCGCGTCAGAGCCGGTGCTAGCGGTACTCGCCGGCGTTCCGTTACTCGACCGACAGATCCGCTAACGTGACTCGCGCTCTCTCCTTCTCGCTCGTTACACGCTGCTCCTTTCTCCGTCACCGCCGTCATCGCCGCCGCCGCCGCCGCCGCCGCCGCCGCCGCCGTAGCCGACACGCCGTCCCTCGTCATCCGAGCGAGTACCGGCGCATCGCCGAGCCGCTCCGTCTCGCCGCGCGATTCGCGTGCTGTGCTGGCGGAGTAATGGCCCGGCGTTACGCCAACGCGATTACGCGATTACGCGAGCGAGATCGCGGATCCGGCCGCCGTTTCTCGCACGGTACAAACGATGTCAGGAGACAGAGCGAAATACGGGACATTTGCGCTGTTAAATTCGTTGGGTTCTTCCCCCCCCAACGGCGTCGTTAATTTAACTAGACAATCGAGTTGAAAGAAACTACGGAAATGGGTTACGTGTAGCAGACGTGGGTGTTTCTTTCAATTATATTTTGGGTTAAAGTAAATTTTGTCACGCGCGTCGGGGTCTCGGTAGAACGGCTGTCTTGTACTCCCACGACAATGTTTTATGTTTTAAATCTTTGTCTTAAAGTGACGCACAATAAAGGCACACGACACTATTTTTCCTACTGGATTGCTTACGAGAGCCAATCAGACCCTGTGCCGTTGGCTTAACTGTCTTGTGTCGTAAGTGGATCCCTCAGCCATCGGCGAACTCCCTCGGCTATCTTTTTTACCGACGCAGTCGAATGTAGTTTTTGCGCTTGTAATTCTTTTTAGTAGCTTTTGTGCACAAAATAATACCAGGATAAGTTGCGGATTTGAAATTTTCAATTCGCAGTTCTAACTAAATTTGGAATTGGCTTCATAAAATTGCAAAATTCTCTCACACGATTAAAGTACGCATAAAGACGAAACAAGTCGATTTTATATAAAAAAAAGAAGAGAAAATAAAAATATCACTTTATAAATGAGGTTATCTAATTTCAATCATGTACCAAAGTGGTAAAATAGCCGTCAAGTTCAATATAGGTCCGTCAACTCGTGTACTCGCGTAAACTTACACGGTGGTGTCGCGCGTGTGGTTAGACTTGTCGCTTATACTTAGTCGCTTATACTTGGCGCGAGACACTACCGTGTCTCGTGATCCCGATAGCACAATTTATTTTATTAAAATAAATTTTGGATATCTTTAGCGTCTTTGTTCAGGTGTAAAGGCATTCATGACGCTGAGTGTACACTCTGGTACACTTTGGTACATGTACCAAACAGTCGCCAAAAATAGCCTCGAATAACATTTCTAATTCTTCGAACACTAAAGCCCTGTCTACAATGAGACAGAAGTCAGTAGTCAGAAATCATAAATCGTAAGTTGGAGATCATACAGAAAAATGTTGATCCACAATGAGTCATAAGTCGCTGTAATCTAGCCAATCAGAGACGAGGAAATTTATAGGCAATCATTTGCCTCAACAAGCTTGATGAGTTCCAAATCATCAATATTCTCGTTAGACGCAGCGATTTTCATCGTTAAACAAGTTTGGTTAAACACCGTTTTGTTGAACAACACTTAAAAAATACCTGGGATCAAGGTTGTGTTCTGAAATGTTTCTTTATAGAAATGATTATAATATAGGGTATACTATAAATTGTCAGTATAATCTCTAAAATTTGTGGAGTGAAAATACTGCCATGGAGTGAAATGTTCACCCTATTGGCGTGAATATTTCCTCCAACAGAGTGAATATTAACTCCAATGGAGTAAACATTTCGCTCCATGGCAGTATTTTCACTCCACAAATTTTAGAGAGTAAGCACAAATTTTTCTCGGAAATATTTCGGAATGTAACCATGACCCCAAAGCCAGACGTCTTGGGCGGCTTGGCGCTTTCGATAAAAACGATGGGCATACCATTGGCTCTGATCAAGGTATGATTGGCTCTGAGTGATCAATCATAAGCTATGTATAAACTATAAGTCAGAAGGATTGGATTTTGGCAATCTTCTTATGATTGCCGCGTTCCGACTTGTGAGTATCTTACAACAGGCTTATAACTCGCTTATCTCTTCTGACTACTGACTTCGGTCTCATTGTAGACCGGGCTTTACAGTTCGCGTTCTCTCTTTCCAGTTGTGGTTTCCAATGCAAATTAAAATTACGTAGTTTCTCAATTCTCTACAATTTGTCGATAATAAAGAATGAGATGGTAACGTTTAAAAATGACACGACTCCTTTCATTCTGTGTCATACCTGTTCCCGTGATCGGCGGAGATGTTAGCTGTGAACTGCTTATATCTGGAGGCTGTTGCGTTTGTTGCTGCGGTTGCTGCTGTTGCGGCGACTGCTGCTGCTGCTGCTGCGGTTGTTGCGGTTGTTGCTGCTGTTGCTGTTGCTGTTGCGGACTGTTCGCATGCACGTTGCCTGGGCTCGCTGCGCTCTCAGCCATTTTTTCTCGCGGACGTTTGCTTTCAGTAAAAATACCTTAATACGAGCTACGGCATCTCTACGTGCGATAACTGTCGAAGACAGCGTCGTTGTTGTTGCGTTGCGTTGAGGCCAGCGACGAGATGAAGATGAATGAATCGGACACAGTCAGTTTGAATAGTTAGTCACTTTCGAGATTACTCGAGTACCCGCTCCGGGCTTCTATCCCATTATACTCTCGTCTATATGTAAATATTCATGTGCGGATTATTTGCGGGATTTATTTGCATCTCCTCGGCGGGATCATTGTCTCTCTCTCGGCATTAAAGAGAAGATCTCTTTAAAACAGCTTCCTTCACGAGGCGCGCGCGATGTTCCCTTCTTAATCTCTTGTTGTCCTTCGCGTGCTTGACTGGTGGCTTTATATTAACAATATTGATCTACTTCGTCACGTTTATTTAGATCGCCGTTAATGATATCCGTTTGCTTTCACAATACGTTGACACAATGCGCCGATGTCGGAAAGAATCTCGAGCTCGAGGCATCCGCTTCCGATCGACTTCTCGCCGTACGCGAGCCAACATTTGCCTCTGTCCATTTTCGTCTTATCCAATCGACTAGGTTCGTCAGTTTGGAAAAGGACGTGAAAGCGATGATGGGGAATCAAGGGGGTCATTTGATATCGCCGCGCGCCGAACACTCTCGTAGTCGACGTCTTCAATTTGAGACATTCAGGGAAGAAGCGTCATTTGTATGCTCGCGAGCGGAGCGAGTGATTTTTTTTTTAAACGCGTTCGAAAGTGGGAGCGACCGAGCCGCAGGTCGGGCCAAAGAGCTAAGAACAACAACAAACATCAGGGCGAAAGGTGTAGAAGAGGGGTAGCTGGAACGGCCTCGAGTGGCCGCCCGTCGAGTCGATAGGTCAGTGGGTCTCGTTCGGAGAGGGTCGCTTCGATTCAACCACGCGTTTCCTCGCGCGCAGCCTCGAAACAGCGCGGGAGCGTAGCGGTCGAAGTCCTTAGATCCGGCGCGAGTGCGACCTACCCGACCGTGTGGATAAGGAAGTGCTAGGGTATCGTCGAAAGGAAAAGGAAAAACTTGAAGCCTAATTACGAACTATCGGCAGCGGTCGATTGTTCATAAATACAACGATCCGTACTCGCGCCGAGAGGTTCACGAACTTATCGACGTAATCGATTTTAACGATTTTCAACGATTAACGACGTTTCGCGCTTCACTTTCACTCGTGAGCCGCGCCGTTGCGACAACTGCGACGGACGCGAGTGACGAAAATTGGGAATCGTTTCATCTAACAATAAGCTATTAAAGGTGACTCGAGAGAGAGATCGGGATACGATCGAGGAAGAGGCTCAACGAGGGAGCTCGTGACTTGGTGCGATCCCCGAATCGACAGACGCAGTTCGATGGTGGTCCACGCTCGATCATGGCTCGCCCTTCGCCGAGATCATCCACTGGAGAACGAAGGATCGCGTTGATCGAGCGAGGGACAAAAGCGAGGCGGTGCTCGCGACCTTCGGCGATTAATTCGACGGCTGCGGTCGATATCTCGTCACCGCGGCCGCCAGCCTCGCACGCGATAAGACGCTTCAACACTCGCGGCGAAACGCTGCCACCGATGCCGTCGACGGCTATCCGCGCTGCGGTGCTTTCCCTTCGTCGGCTCCGTCGATCACTGACATTCTGGACCGATCACCACACTGCCGAGGACACCCACATCGCGAATCACACGTACTCCTCGTGCTCGTCGTGTCCAGGTGCCATCGACGGTATCTACGATCGTAGTCTCCCTTGGGAACGCCTTATCCCCCGTTGATTACCAAACGAGGACTGTCTTCTGGTCAACTGGAAGCGTTATCCTCGTGTCCGACGTCGAAATGTTCGGGTCTTCTCAGTCATCCAAGTCGAGGTCGGAAGAAGCGAGCCGATGCACACCTCAGCGTTCCCGAGGATACACCTGCGGGAGAGCACGAGAGGGTTGCTCGGGGTTGTGCTCGTGCGCCTCGTGGCTCCTCACATCGTGCTCGTCCCGTCGTGATCGCCGACGATGGAAGCGGAGGGCTCGCAGCTCGTCGCGCGAGGGAAGGCACGTTACTTTTCTCGCTGGCAATGACGAACGAGTCGCACACACACACACACGCGCGCGCGCGCGCGCGTGATGAGTAACCCCGCGCGCTCCCGAGTTAGATTCGTCGAAGGAGGAAACTCGTCAGGTCCTCGTCCCCGGGCTCGACCTTCCCTTCTTCCTGCCTTCCTTTCGTTTCGGCGCTATGCACTTTACGGGGCACCAGTGGCTCCTGCTTGCACCGACCACCACCAGATGGCATCCGGGTACTTGACTCGCCCCCGAGCAACCCCGTTGCGCCCCCGGAGCCCTCGCCACCGCCACCCCGCCCGGGTTACGCTAGCTAGGCTAGAGGGATCTCAAACCCTGCGCAATATTTATGGCGAGGTGGAAGGGCTCTCCTCGCGCCGAGATCATTATTTAAGTTATGACGTATAGTCGGAGAGGGAGAGCAAACGGAGATGAAGCGATATAGAGTGGTTTAACAGCAACGTAAATGAATAATAGAGATTATTGGTAATGACGATGATTTCAAACATCGTAAGACGCAAGTTATCTTATGCCAGGCATGCATATATCACGAAAGTTAATACATGGTATTATTACCTCTTTATTACTTAATACGCGAAACAAGTTGTTATTTATTATATTACATTACTGACGCTCTATACTTATTGTTATATTTCTTCTACGTATATTGTCAATGTTTTATTGTCTTTTGTAATTTATCTGTCCATTGCGATGAATCGCAATTAAATGATATACTTGAAAATAGCTGCGTGCGAGTATAGTTCGCACATTTTTGCGTGTTTGTATATTCTTTGAAGCTACGGTTAATATAATAATTGTTTTTACATTGAATATTTTTTACTCCCAAAGTACCTCCTATAAACACATGCAAGTATAATCATACAATTGTTGGAGTAGCGTTGAAAGAGAGCGAGTGAAATGCGGGATGTTAAATTGCGCGCCGGGAAGTTGCTCAATGAATGGACGAACTAGCGTAAACTGGCCTTCGTACGATTCGGGGGTGGTGCATCTTGCGCATGTGCGACTCCCGTGCGACTTGGCTACCCTTCCTTCGATCGCGTTACTACCCCGAGTTCGTTGGAGGATAGCTCGTCTTATCGGATAAACGATAGAGAGAACCCAGGCTCTGCGACGCTGGGCTGTCCATTGTTCGCCACGCGGCGAAATACTTATTACCTCCATTTTCTCTTTCGGTGGCGGGCAGGATCTGACTGCCGAGGGAAGCGATTCCCCATTAAATATTTAGACTTCTACTAATGAATAACCGACGAAGCAAAGCGAGACACCGCTTCGTCTCCCGAAGATCGAGATTCTGAAACGTTTCGCGTTACTCGGGGATAAATACTATTGGCGAATTCGCTACGGATTATAAGTACTATTGACGCATTTATACACACATTTTGTGTTTTGGACTAAGTGGGTTTAATTATATTAGTCCATTGCTGAAGAGGGTCTCTTTCGCAGACTGAAACGTACAATCGTATCGCGGGGTTATGTGATTTCTAACATAAAAAAATTTGTTGATACCATTATACATAATTTTTCACCACTTTCAGCTGGGTGTTGGCTCACATTGCTTATATATTTTCTTTTTAACATCTCAACGACCAACATGGTCTTCCGTAATTTAAACTACTGGAAGTGTTCTTTGATACAAGAATTTTCGTTAAATTTTCTTACCGATTTAAATTATTTTGTCGCAATAGACTTAAAATTATTTAAACACTAACAACCTGTCTTGGCTCTTACTCCTTTATTACTTCGTCTTTGTGTCTTCACGTTAGAGCCTTATAAATTTTATTAATTGTTAAAATTATTTTGTTATAACGGTAATTTTTATTGGATCATTTTTATGACGTCTCTAACCGATGTGTTGCTATATTTAGATTCGATTAATTTGTGTCGAAACTGGAGTTTAGTTTATTATTAAAATAATTAGGCACAGGAGATGCGACAAATTATTAAGTTACCGGCAATATATAAGTAAACAAGAAGAATTTAGTTAATTAATTTGTGAACTATTAATTTATAAGCTGCTCGTAAAACATAATTTGAAAAGCAGGCGTACAAAATATATTTTTATGACAATTTAGAGAGAGGTATACCGCACTTGGCCGTAATTAGCGAAGGTAGGAAGAGTAACGGCCGTAAAGTCTCCCAGTATTTAATTTCGACACAGCCGACTCTCCGTTCTCGCCGGAGAATTTTTTTTATTACGCGGCGCTCTTATCGAACGCCTCGGCGCGAGTATCGCGCTACCGTTATCGCGCACCCTCTCGAATGGATCCCGCGATTTAAGCGTGTCCGTTTCGCATTGAAACCGCGTCCGGGACGCGAACGCGGGGGGAGGGGGGGGGGAGAGAGCGGGCGTAACAGGCCCTCTCCACCTGGGCACCGGGCGAAAGAAGGCTCGCGTCGGCTCGGGCCCGGCGCGAGACGCGAGCCGTTGCATTTTCAGAACGGTACTTCTAACTGTACCTCACATGTGTATGGGCGCGTGCGTGTGCCATGCCGCGCCGCTCACCTGTCGGACAGCAGCGCTTGGCGCGATCGCCGAACAACAGCAGCCGATGAACTCACCAGCGCGACCATTGATCCAGAGTGAAAGAGAGAGAAAGAGAGAGAGAGAGAGAGAGAGAGAGAGAGAGAG